CGAGCAAGAAAAGTGTTGCTGCCTCCTATTTGGATTAAAAATTGAAATTTTCAACTAGCTACTGCTGCGGCAGAAACCTCCAAAATAGTTCTTTTTGGACGGAACCTTGGCTGCAGGGACTGCGCGGGGCTTTGATCATGAACGTGAGATCTTATTTGTCGTGGCGCCAGATTTTATTTGTCGTTGGCGCCATTTCGGCGCTAGCAGTCTTTTTGGCACCGAATGCGATAGAAACCTCCATAGCTAGGTTATTTGACATCCTTGTCACGAATATCGTTGCCTTCCAGTGTTGGCGCCACCTGGCGCCAGCGGGCGCCACTTTGGCGCCAGCGATCTTTTTGACACCGAATTCGATAGAAATGTGTCGGTGTGGCCGTCTATGAATCATTGTAATGTGTGAAAAGCAGAAAATTCCAAGAAAATTCTTAGAAACAGAAGTTATGGCACACATTTTGGAAATCACGATCGCGCTAAAAAGTGGGCGTGATCGCAGAGGGCGGGGCATGAGATGGCATTCAATGGGTCAAGGATGGTTGAAATAGCAGTCCCTGCACGATTGACTTATCATTTTGCGAAATTTGACATAGCGGCAAAAAAGTGGTCCACGAGGGACAATATGAGCCACCGGTGGCTCAAAGCGGACGCATGCGAAAACACGCCATTGTCCCACGCGGCGCTTTCCCGCAAAACGCGATTGTCGTCAACGTGTTAAGTGAAGTAGTCTCTTTAGCCGTGCTAGATGCTTAGCAATCACTAGTTGTATCAGTATGTCTGGTAAAACTCGATGAGCCCCCTCACGTATCGTAAGTTCGATGGTTGTTATAAATTGGAGGTGTTGTAGAGGTTAAGGGTAGGGTACGCGCCCGCGTTTCGGGCGTTACATCCACGCTCGGCTCTTGCCCCAGCCAAGGAAGCCTTCTATCCTCTGGGTGCGATAACGCTACCAGACTGGGATGAGAGGGTAATAACACTTCCGAAACACTGTGTTACTATGCTTCTGAAAGGAAGTAGAGGTAGTACTCCACTATTACTACAAACACTCAAAAAAGTGTTTTCGTTGAAAATTCGCCTGCAGAGATTATCCAGCGCCCTGATCACGAATATGATGCTCATTTTTGGCGCTGGCGCCAGATAGCGCTGGCGCCAGATGGCGCCATCGTCTTTGTCACCAAAACCAGTGAAAACTTGTATTCGGGGATCATTTAACATCCTAACGCGGATATTACATTCTTTTCGGCGCCCCACATCGATATGGGGCACTCTGATCATCTGCGCTCTGCTCAGGCTGAGCCTACCAAGACGTTCAGTCCTCTCCCGGCCTCAGTCCTAGCAGAGCGCTAATTGTGCTGGTGCAGAAAAAAAGGGTGATTTTCTATAGCAATGAATCCTGTTATGCAAGATTCACCGATTTTGCTAAAAAAAGTGGCGCGCCAAATTGGTGCCATTTGGCAACTGTCATGCTGTTCAGTGTTGGACAGATACATGACCACGACTGAGTTCAATGAAAATATCTCACCTAAAGCACAGCCACCGCCACGTTTAGTTGAAGTACGCAGCCACGCCTACCGCATCTCAGGGATTACAAGTATACAAGTTTCCTCGATTTTGATGAGTGGCGCCTAAATTGGCGCCTGTGGGCACCAAGTGGCACCAGCGCCGAGAACGAATGTCATATTCGTGTCCAGGACCCCGAATAACATCTATATTCAGAGTTTCAGCAAAAAAATTATTTCTTTCTGAGTTTTTGGAGTAGTAATAGTGGAATAATGTAAATGAAACCCGTAACTCAAAGGATCCTTGTTTCAAAGACATAGCAGAGTCACAGTAGTGGCTCGCATCTAAGGGTAACTTTCTACACTTATTGTGCACTTTTCAGTGCTCTAACAAGGAGAGTGCTTACTGCAGGACTATTTCTATAGCTGCGTTGCGCGTTGTTATAATGGACTGCTTCAAGGTATAATGGACTCTGGTTTAACTTCCATCTTTACTGAGTCTTCTGTCCCTGTATGCACCCGTGTTCGCTGTGGATGCTGAAGTGTGTCAGGGTGCAGTGTTTGGCACGTCACAGCTTGCTCTGCAACAAATGCTCAAGCGGGCAAGCGACAACAATATGCTGAAAAACGAGTTGGCGCCTCTGACAAAGTCGGCTCCCCTGACACGCCCCCATCGTTTGCAGCTAGAACGAATATGTGCTGCTTTTCGATGGAAGGGGGGGGGGGGAAGATTTTATCATGGGATGTTGTTGAAATACAGTGTTTGTGAGGACGACTGTATTTCGCAACGTCCTCACATGATCCCGGGGAATAACAAGTACGGTAAGGACATCGATGTTTACGATGTCCTGCTCATTCCAGGGCTTATCTTGTCCACGAGTTGCGGTGAGAGCTGGGTCATCGACTACTCATATTGCCAGCTAGTTTTCAGTATTGGACTGCAAGTTTTTACTCGGCCTATTATTCTTTTAGGAAGCTAAGTACACGCACATATTACCAGATTCGGACCGTTACCCGGTAGGGGTTTGATACAGGTACGCAATGGCGGATTCCGCACTGCATAGTACATAATTCTAAAATTTGATCGAGTAGATTACTGGTTCGTGATTCTTCGTCGTTCGCATTGGTCTGCAATTAACCAATTGTTTTCGGCTACTGTTTCCAGCCTTGAGGTTCATGTCCTACATATATGTCGAACGCGTTGATAAAGCCAGCCATATGATTTTTAGGATCGCTGTTGTTTTTTCGGGTTCATCGAGTTTCGCCTTCGACAACCACTGTTCAATCAATTACTCCACTGGTTCCTATCCCATCACTTTAGAATTTTACTCATTCAACTATTCTCTCTGAACCCCAGTTGTTTCTAAGGCTAGAGGTTTTCAATGATATTTGGTTAGATACCAGCTATGGACGGGTTCGAACCAATAGCTACAGGAGAGCACCCAGAACCTAGCAGGGGCATGTTGGGAGATACGGACATTGCTACGATCATAGCAGCGCTCAAAGAGGACAAGCCCTCGAGTTTCCGCGCTGGTTACAACACCTAGCCCTTCCTTTGTAAGAAAAGGCTGTGGATCTCAGTATGAGTTCAACGCTTCGATAATGGTCAGGCTGGGAGGAATTAATAGATCGGGGTTATCGCGACTATTCGCGATTCTACTTGTTTTTGTTAGAGTTCTAAAGGAAAATTACAAATTTGATCTGACCAATCAACACAGGTCATGGATACCCCCGCGCAGCCCGCCATTTATTGATTGCTCGGCTATAAAAGGCCCCCATTCGCCACCATTCCCCACTTCATCAATTTTTCTTGTTTTCACTAACTTTTGTTATTTTTACTTGTTTTGTTTAATTACCCAAGTTTGAGGAAGATAAATTGGTGCGTACGCCTGTACTGGTTATTCTGTTCTGGTTATATTCCTATCCTATTTATTCACGCGTGGCACCGCTTTTTTGAGAAGAAAGTGGTATTTACTTTAGGGGTTGAGAAAAGAAGATGACGAATCGTTCCAGTCAGCGCTAGATTGAGGTTAACTCCGTGTTATATCATCAAAGTTCCAATTGGTCGACAAGGACTATTATCATGTCTGATGATCGGAAAAAGTGTTTGGAGAAAGTATTTCGGTCAGCTTATCTTATCCGCATGTGTCTTCATATGACCAGCTGACTCGACAATTGTGTAAAGAGAGTACAGCCATTTATCAATGGATTTAACCGTGAGTCGACACCAGATTCAACCGTGGATACCGCACACATTTGAACACGCGGTCAAGTTATACGATTCCATTCTGCTCTGTCTCTTGAATCGTGTACATCATAGATTTATTCGAATTCTGTTTCAAATCAGGCACTACAATGCTCATGGCCTGTTTTTCGCGATGCCGTGAATTGTATGATGCAATCAAGAAAAATAAGGAAGATTGGGCAGTCGAAAACTTCGTGCCTTTGATGCGCCCTCTCCTGGATGAGGGAATTGCATTTCCAAGTGAGCATCAAAGTCGAGACATTTCTCGGCTTGAAGGGTATCATCCTTAGTTGTTTTGCTCTATCACGATCGGACCATCAGGGACTGCAAGAAGTCCACTGCTCATAACCGCATTAAAACTGCTCTTGTAGTTGCTTACAATATGACTGTTGAGGAATCAGAAGAACACACCTCTATGTTCATTAGTTGTGCTGAGCCTTATCTTGTTCAATATGAGAGCAGGTGTTCGTCAATTGAGCGACTCCGATTATGTCTATAAGCGAATCATGCTTCGCTGTATTGTTAGCATCCCATCCCCAACATCAGATTATATCAAAGACATGTTATCGTTTTCTAACATGACTTGGCACAGGTATCTAACAATGGGTGTCTTACAGTACCGTACAACAAAGCTTTTCTTGAATGATAGTTTTAGAGCTGAACTCAATCAGTATCTACAAATGGTCATCGAGAAATTGGTCGACAATGATGCCGCTGTTTATCAGTACTTGTCTGTACTGAAGCTCGCGACTAACAGAGATTTATCGCCAAATCTCTATCCTGTTTTGTATACATTTGCAGTGGTTGTCATGCAAGACAGTCATACGCTCCCACCGGAAATTCTTAAGCAGTACGAAGCGTCACCTGCAATTAAAGGGTCGCCATTGTCGATGCACGAAATTCGTCGCCTTATTCACGAACGCATTCAACTCAAAATTACGGCTGAATTCAAGGAATACCAATATGTGGAAACAGTTTTTGGCAAACCTAGTGATTACGAAGAGTTAGTTGCACGTGATGCTGAGAACTATAATATCAACAAGATACTTGAATTAGCTATGGAGAAGAGAATCAAGACTATTCTTGGCGCTTAATTAACTATCATTTTGCTATTATACACTTAGCCACTCAGGATAGTGTATACCCGTTATTAGGTATGTTTCTAGTATTTTGTAGATAGCACTCTTACTAGTGCTAATTTTATTTTGCATTCTTAAGATGCAATTAAGGTCAGGAACGAAACCTTGAAAATAGCAGACAAGCATCCTGGAGTGTTCTCCTTCATTGATAGTAAGAAGCGAACTGAATTAGTTAAGTCGGCAGATCCCTTTCTATCCGAGTTTTTGGAGCAAGTGCAGAAAGAGGAGAAAAGGGTCAAGAAGAAAAGGACGACTTTTCCAGCTTCTTCCAGCCAGCCCTTTCGGGGCAGGGATTCGACATGGCGCCCCGATTCCGGGCTTTCGAATACATGCCAAGAAACAAGCCTTACCTCAGCATGGAGCGCAGCAGATACGGAAACCGCTTGGCGTCTCGCACGCCTTACCAGAAATTCCGGGGAGGCAAGTCCGAGAGATCTAGAAGTCGTGCTTCCTGTGCGGACATGAGGGGCATTGGCGCGACGAGTGCCCAAATAGAAAAGTGGTAAGTATTATCCAGCTTCGATTCACGATCACATCTCTATGTGGGATGGCTCTCGAGCCGAATGCTTTGGTTCTCGATACCATTATTAACGGATACACGATCCCATTTGAGACGGTTCTCGAGCCCCTACCTAGAGTTGAAAATCGTAAATCAGCTCGGATGAATGCAGCTTTCGTTGAGAGACTATTTCAGATTTAACAGAATGGCGCTGTCGTAGAAGTCGCTTTTTGCCATAAACTCGTTCTCCACCCTCTGCGTGGCAGAGGGTAAGAAGTTGAGATTGGTTTTGGACCTTTCTGCTCTCAATAGAATTTTGACAAGGGAGCACGTGAAATTCGATGATTTGGCGAGAGTGCAACATCTTTCACCCAGGGAAGGGTTTATGACAACGTTTGACTTGAAAGGAGGTTACCATCACATTCGAGTAGAAGAGCGCAGCCAGCGTTTCCTGGGTTTCGAGTGGAATAGAAAATATTACAAATTCACAGTTCTGCCCTTCGGTTTGGCAACTGCGCCTCATATTTTTACAAAAATGCTTAGACCCCTTAGTCAGAAAATGGAGAGGAGAAGGCAAAGGCGTGGCGATGTACTTGGATGACGGGCTAATTTGGCCAGTTCCAGGGACGAATGCGAAAGAGTATCAGCCGCTATTAGAAACGATCTCAGATGTTTTGGTTGGTTCGAGGCAGAAGACAAGTGCCGTTGGTTCCCGACTACTCGCACCATATGGTTAGGTTACGCCATAGACTTGAAACAGTTCGAGATCTCGATCTCAGTTGAAAGGATAGATAGGGCAATCGTTCTGCTCAGACGTATGTTGAAAGAAAGAGCTCCGTCGTTACACACAAGACTGAGATGGACGGGCACACTTGCATCGATGAGTCTAGTGATTTCAGATCAAGATAAAAGGCAATCCAGGTCCGTGGCAACTGAGGTGGCAGCAGCGCAATCACGTGAGTGTTCTCTTGGTTATAGGTGGTCACTGTCCACCAGAGAGAAAAGAGATAGATTTTCGGATAAATCGACTAAAGCAGGACTGTTTAGTTCACTTTCACCATCGAAGGAGCTCTCCATGCCAGATTTCACTATAGAAGTTGATGCCTCAGCCCACTCAGTGGGGGCAGTACTGAAAGGGGAAGATACGGTTAGGGCGCACGGCGCTCTGCCAGACCTGTTGATTCCAGAATCTAGCACAAGTAGAGAACTGTTTGCGTTACATTTCGGTTTGCTTACATTTGGCCCCACACTTTCGGGTCACATTTTTGTTGAAAACAGATAACCAGGGAGCATGCAGAATACATAAAGTAGGAAGCCTAATCGAGGACCTACAAAAGCAAGCAGAAGGCATTTGGGAACTAGAAACTTGGTTGACTTAGTCAAGGTATCCCTTGTGGTTAGTACCTCCTCCTAGTTTGGTTGCTAAATCGTTATCATGGGCTCGTCACCATCAATCGCTGGGAATTTTGGGGTGCCCGTATTGGCCATCGCAAGCCTACTTTCTCATACTGAAACCGGATGGTCAGAGATGGGCCAATTTTGTGCGGAACGGTGTGCTATTCCCAGTAGGATCGAGACTTTTCGAACCATGTCCAAATTCTAAGGTGTTGAACAGCGAGTTCCCGAAGGTGCGATTCCTGTTCCTACTGATAGACTTCAGGGAAGCTAAATTACCACGAAGGGAGCTCAATTTCTGACCTTCCGCCGGCATTTGAAGTCCACGAAATCGACTTCCCCGGAATCGAAAAGCTATTTATACCGTAGTTGCGCAGCAACGGAGGTATAAGTGCTGCTTTTCGATGGAAGGGGGGGGGGGAAGATTTCATCATAGGATGTTGTTGAAATACAGTGTTTGTGAGGACGACTGTATTTCGCAACGTCCTCACATGATCCCGGGGAATAACAAGTACGGTAAGGACATCGATGTTTACGATGTCCTTCCTCATTCCAGGGCTTATCTTGTCCACGAGTTGACACCCACCCGCCCTACCCATTGTTATTTTCAGGACCGCTATGGAGGGAAGCGGGCGATCTGTGCGAAATGGCGATGCGCTGCGAACTGCCTCGAGTTGCGGAGTCTATCAGAGCCTCTCTTAATAGTCATCGCTCGAACGCAACATTTAAAGCCTACTCACTAGCATGTTCTAGATTCGTGCAGTGGTGGGGAGCGGAACGTGTCAAGGATATACCGATCGCAAAGGCAAGAAACCTTTTTCTTGCTCACTGTATCGACAGCAAACAACATAGCTCCTTGCCCAGCATAGCAGCGGCTCTGAATTTCCTGTTGGGGAAGCAAAGAGAGGTTGACAAAGAAATAGAAAGGTCGCTGTTGGACAGTGCTAGCAGAAATAGAGATCCAGTAAATCATAGGAGTAAGATAACAACGGACGACTACATCAAAGTAGTTCACTTAGGCTTTCTATCTAAGGACCAGAAAGTTTTCTCTACTGTGGCGTTGGCCATTTTGATGTTTAGAGGGTTTCTCAGAATCAACGAGGCAAGAAACCTCAATATAGCAGAGCTCACACTTAATAATGGTACCTATTCGGTATTTATCAGAAAATCCAAGACTGATCAGGCTAGAAGGGGTGCCGTTACATCTTTCACTGTAGACCCAGAGTCGGAGGAACATCAGGTTCATACAAAAACAGATAAATAGTGCCAAGAGAGGCAGTAATGGGCTTCTTCTTCCCATCCAAGTCCACTAAACAACCCCTCAGCACATCCACCATTTCTAAAAGGTTGCAGCAAATATTTCTCATTGCGGGCGTGAGCCACAAAAACTATACCACTCACAGCTTTCGAGGGGGTGCCGCGACGGTTGCACTAGAGCAAGGGTTTGATACGACGCAAGTAATGAAAATGGGAAGATGGAGATCCCTCAAAGCTTTTCAGGCCTACATTCAACCAATGGCTGTCAACCTGAGACTATCCAATCCAGAAAATCCACTGGTGTAAGAGAACTGGGGATTCACTGTTCTTATGTACATAGATAACTGCCTATACTTCGATGTTATACATATGCAGTATTAATCCATATCGATGTCTTCCATGCTATGGGTGCTTTTTAATTTGTTAGTTGTTATTGCACGTATAACACTATGCCATACTGTAGGATCTGAGCCTATTAACCACCTCGTGAGTTGTAATTCATTAACAGGTATTCATGATATCGAGTGCCAGAGAGCACATTGCATATACACGTACTTGCCATTATTGCCGCGTCATACTCGTACAATCTTCACCTCCACGAAATCGACTTCCCCTGAATCGAAAAGCTATTTATACCGTAGTTGCGCAGCAACGGAGGTATAAATGTACTACTTAATTGTTTTTGGAGAACTGTGCAATTGATTTGTTAGCTTTAGGACAGTTATTAACGCGGACCAGAGAGAGTAGGCCAAGAGAAGTGGTCTTGGCAAGAATAAGGGAGGCTCGGGAATGTTTCATTCTGTGAGCCGCGCCGAAGCGCGGCGCTTCCATGTTTTGGTATGACTCACGTTAGCTTTTAGCTTTTCAGGGCGTGGCGCGACTGCAGCAGGACGATGCGAGGAGTCGACCCTGCCAGGTCCGGAGCCTGCAGCCCGTTCCTGCCAGCTTCCCTGAGGGCGATGCCCCCGTTACCAAGAACACATGATCTCTATTGGTGCCTCGTTTGCCTTGTAACGTTGCCTTGTATCATTTTGTATGCCTTTTGTAATTCTGCTATTACCTGTAACCTATTCCATATCCTTGATCTCCTTTTATGTCTTTACAGATTTACTTTGAAAAAGCACCTAGAGTATCACAGGAGTAGGTGATTAGCACTCCTGCAGCGTCTAGCTGACTATTCTATTCGATTTAGGTGCTCACCGTAGGAACTCCTGCAAAAAAATGGACTTCAAGGTGCAGGTTCAGGACTTTCCTGTCCTGTATGTGGCTATATTACATTGTCAATAACGCCCTTTAGAAATTTTTATCTGGTTTAATGCGATCTCCTCTTCATGTAGACACAGCGATGCACCGTCCCTTCTAGTAAAAAGATAGCGGATAAGCTTATGATAATCCTGCATGTTGCAGCAACAGATTGCTTTGTAGAAGGTACTGAACACCAGAACCGTGACGGTTCTATCTCGACGAGACAGTACAGTATTGGTGGGGTGTGCCGTGCCGTTTTTGTCATGACAGAGTCGGTACGATAGTGGAGGGGAGGACTGAAGTGCAAAGTAATGTGCTTATTCTGCAGAACAATGTGCTCATTCTATGACATCTGTTCCAGAGTCGTAAGGGGGGTGACTGTGGAGAGCTCAAGCTTGAGCTTGAGCGATGCAGAACTCGAAAAGCTCAGGGTTTCGGTCATTTGCAAACTCCCCTACTTGGCTACAGTTCATTGTTGTGGCTACATTAATGCAGAATCTTTATTACAGCAATGCGATTCGTATTTTAGTAGAAAACAGCACATTCAATGGCATCCAGGCGGTCCAAGCTCTGAAATAATAATATTGTGTGGTCTGGAAAAACACAATCTTTTTCTGACAGGAAGATGTTGGGCTAAGAAAAATGGAACTATTTTGGCACCGAACTATGGTACGAAGACTGCTCTGTTCGTCTTGCAGATACCACTGAATGGGATCCACGAGCTATATTCTCCTGAGAAGACTGACTGTCCTAGTCGCCTGAAATTACACACCTTGCTGATTCTTCCATGCTTTGGATCTTCGATGGTGAGCTGATATAGCCGGAAACGACTTTCACGACAATCCTTATGTATCATATTAGGCACAGGGACGAACAGTCGTCTGAAGATGAACATTACTAGTGCATGAAGACAAGTACAGGGTCTGTCATAGAAAGCATTGCATTCCCTATCAGAATGATTTGATGATGCAAATGGAGCAGACCGGCTCATTCCTCCCTGTCTTGCGATTTCCTCATGAGAATCACTGACAAACGGGAAGCTGGTCTGCTCGACAGGAATCTGAACAAAGACTTTCTATGCAGAATAAGACACAGGTTTTCCTAATTGATACCTTGCCGATACACCTGTGGAAAATGACTTCCTTCTTATGACCGTGCAGGTTTACAACGCTCCTGTAGCGCCAAAGGCAACATTCCTGATTTCTGTAATTTTCTCTTCATATTTTCAGAACGGACCTTCAATATGAAGTATCTCTACGATGGAATATCTTCTAAATTCAATAGGTGGTCTTTCGCAAACTGATACAGTCTCCGGAAAGCCCCTATGCACAGTTACCGCTCTACAGTCCTCATCATTGCGTACTGTCGCGTCACAGTGCAGCGCGGCTGTGCCGCCCCGATAGTACAGTCCTCATCATTGCGGACCGGTGGGGCGTGGCAGTGCGGCTGTCTTGGTGCGGTTTGGC